CCTAAACCCGAAACTCTAAACCCACACCCTAAATCCTAAAGCCAAAACTCGAAACACCAAGCCCGAAATCCTACACCCTAAACCCATGCCCGGAGGGGGCTTGGGCGTTGAGCCGTTTAGGGCCCAGGGTTCTCACGGTTTGGGGTTTAGGGTTCAGCGGTTTAGGGGTTTAGGGTTTAGGGCCTAATTTCTAAATCCTGACACCCTCAGCCCTAAACCCTAAACCCCTAAACCCCTAAACCCCTAAACCCCTACACCCCCAAACCCTAAACTCCAAAAGGGACTGTTGGAAACTCGGACCTGGAGTTTCGCCGCACTTCCTCCGCGGAGGGCCGGATCGGCGCCATCAGCCGTCGCGCCGCATAGGGCTGCACGCTGGAGAGCAGAGGAAAGAGCTCACCCAGGCGGTCGGGTGACACCTACAAGTAGCAAGTAGGGAAGAAGGCTTGAGGCTTAGGATTTGGGGTGTTTAGTTTAGGGTTTAGGGTTCAGGTGTAGTGATGCATGTGACACCTAACAGGAGCCACTATGTATTGGGATGAGGGTTTAAGTAGAGTCCGGGGATAAGTGATGCCGACACTTTGACAGGAGCAGTCAGGAAATGGGGCCTAGGGAAGCTTAGGGTTTAGGGGTTTAGGGTTTTAGTGCTTGAGGTGTACATTCATACGTGCTACACATGCATAGCCATAGTCTTCGAGATAGAAGGACACTCACCCTGAAAGCGATCCCAAAACCCTAACCCCAAAGACCTAACCCTAAACCCTGAATCCTAGACCCTACTGTAAACCCTAGACCCCTGAGCCTAAACCCTAAACCCAGATTGAAGACAGATAGAAAACACCGGCACCTGCGACGCCAGCGGGCTGGCCCAGCCGTCCTCGTTGTGCCTGAGCCAGTTCTCCAAGACCTGCTCCTCCCGTGGCTTAGGGTTTTAGGGTTTAGGGCTTAGGGTTTAGAAGTTTAGGGTTTAGGGCTTTAGGGTTTAGGGTTTAGGGTATAGGGGTTTAGGGTGTAGGGTTTCTCCTCCCGTGGCTTGAAGGTGATCACAACGGCCCGGCCGCCGTACTTCAGTCGCTGGAACTGGGCAGCCATGGCATCCGCCAGCTGCTGCATCTCCTGATTGATGAAGTTGCGGATGCCCTGAAAGGCCAGCTTCGCAGGATGCTGGCGACGGTCGTCCAAGCCACGCTTCACTTCCTGTATGCAGGTGGAGAGCTCGAGCGTGGAGGTGTAGGGCCCGCAACGCCGCTGTCGCTCGAGCGCCGCCTCAGCTATCCGGTGGCAAAGGATCGGATCGTCATCCTCGCCGTTTTCGTAGACCACCCATGCCAACTCTGCAGGGGTCGCCGTTTGCAGCCACTTCCAGGCAGGTATCCCTGCCTTGAAATTCATGCGAAGGTCCAGTGGGCCATCCTGGTAGCAGCTCCAGCCACGGCCCCCATCGTCAACCTGAGGCGAAGAGAAGCCAATGTCTAGAAGCATCCCAGACAGCTCTAGCCCATCAGGGAGGCTTTTATGGACATCCGCAAAGGGCCGATGGATCATCGAAAAGCGCTCGTCGAGCTCTTCGAGCTTCCGGCCCACGGCAATCGCATTCGGGTCCACGTCGAAGGACCAAAGCCGCCCCGTTCCGGACAACCGACGTAAAATCTCCGTGGAGTGCCCACCACGGCCGAAGGTGCCATCGGCATAGAAGCCATCCTGGCTTGTAGTTTGGGGGCCCTGAAACGTATTTATGAATAGGTACCTCTATAGAAACCATAAGGGAAATCTTAGACCCTAAACCCTAAACCCTAAACCCTAAATTGCCACCTAGCATCTCTTCCATCGGGGCCCCCGAGAAGGCAGTTGATGGATTCATCCCGCAGGACGGGGATATGCCCCGTGGTGAGCTCCGCCGCGCCCTCCTTCACTGGCCTCCGACTTCGCTCGCGAGTTAGCCTAAACCCTTAACCCTAAACCCTATAAACCCTATAAACCCTATAAGCCCTATAAGCCCTATAAGCCCTATAAACCCTATAAACCTTAGACCCTAAACACTGGCCTCTGACTTCGCTCGCGCTTGAGCCTTAAGGGCAGCTTGCCCCAGACCGGCAGGGCCTCCTCCTTGCTTGTCAGTCTGGTGCTTAGTAGGGAATGGGGGAATGGATCCCTATGATAGTCTCTTAAGGTCCCCTTTAGTAGTCCCAAGAACCCATTCCTCCATTCCCTGCTAAGAACCAGTCAGTCCTTGCTTGTTCGGAGCTCGGGGTTGAAGTACGCAGCCCAGGGATCCGACTCCTCCGTCCTTCGCCTAGGCGAGGGCTCTCAAAGGGTTTAGGGCTTTTTTTAAGGGTTTTTTTAGGGTTTAGCATTTAGGGTTTAGGGTTTAGGGCTCTCAAAGCCTCTCAAAAAGATAGTCATCTACAAGATCCTCTTAAGCCTCATAAGATATACCTCTACAAGATCCTCTTAAGCCCAATAAGATATACATCTACAACATCCTCTTAAGGCTCTTAAGCTTCATAAGATATACATCTACAAGATCCTCTTAAGCCCTATAAGATATAACTACATCGACAAGACTCTCTTAAGCACAAGAAGGGGCAAAAAATCTGAAAGCGGTCCCAAAGGCCTTTGAAGGCCTGCCTAGTCGCTCTCTTCCCTCGGGCCAGGCGCTCTTGGCACGAAGGCTCTGGCGGCTGAGGCTGGCCTGGGTTCTTGTTAAAGGATTTAATTTAAGTTATCATAATAAGGAAACCATATTACTTACCATAGATCTCTATTTAATTTAAGTTATCATACTAAGGAAACCACATTATTTACTATAGCTCCCTATTATGGTAGCTTTAATCTAAGTTACCATGATAAGGAAACCACATTATTTACTGTAGGTCCCTGTTAGGGTAACTTAAACTAAATCCATAAGGTAACTATATTATCAACCATAGATCCCTGTTAGGGTAACTTAAACTAAATCCCTTAGCAAGAACCCAGTGGCGCGGGCAGCCTGCTCCAAGCTGGCTCGGGTGCCCTGGTCCCACATCCTCCGTGGCTCCTCGGAGGGAGCCAACCCTAAAACCTGAACCCTAAGCCGCCCTCAGCCCTAAACCCTAAACCCTAAACCTAAACCCTAAACCCTACGCCCTAAACCCCTAACACCTAAACCCTAAGCCCTAAACCCTGAACCCTGAACCCTAAACCCAAAACCATAAACCCGAAACCCTACGCCCTGAACCCTGAACCCTAAACCCAAAACCCAAAACCATAAACCCGAAACCCTACGCCCTGAACCCTGAACCCTACAACCCTGAACCCCTGAGCCTGGGGTGGCAGGGACTCGGCGCGGCATGCGGCGGAGGGGGCACGGGAAGGCGCCCGACGGCCAGCAGGCCCCATGCCATAGGTGCCACGGTCGATCAGCTCCACCAGAGAGGCGGAGCCTGCAGGAATGCTTTGGGCCGATTTCGTGCGTTGCACAGTCTCCTCGCGATCTGGAACCGTGGACGCGGGCAGAGCTGCGGGCTCTCTGGAGCTGTGCAGTGGCACAACGGGCTCTACCTCCGTCCCTCTGCAGCGGCTCGGAGCTGCGGCGACCGGAGTCCTCCGATGACTCTCTGCGCCGTGGTCGGATCTGTTCGGAGCCGCATCCTCATTGGGGCTCGGGCCTCGTAACGGAGGCCGTTGCGGTCTGCTTGGGGCACGCCGGAAGCTCGGCCCCCCAAGGCGCTTCCGCGGCTCGCGAAGGAGCACCAGGGACGACTTACGTTCGGGTTCAGGCTGGCACATCTGCGCAGGGTCCATCCTCCATTGCTCAAGGTTCAGCGCTAAGCCGGTCAAGCTAGGGCTTAATGGTTTAGGTGTTGCGGCTTGGTGTTGCGGCTTGGGGTTCAGGGTTTATGTGCCTTTCGACGCAAGCGTTCAGCACCTGAGCCTCAAAGCCGAAGAAAATCATTTCGATGTCCTCCTCGCCGCCCAGCCTCGAGTGCGAAGGCAGGAACCACCACCACCACCACCACCACCAGCAGCAGCAGCAGCAGCAAGGGCAACAGCAACAGCAACAGCAACAAAAGCAACCATCGCCACAACCCCTGCTATTGCTACTGCTACTTCCGCTGCCATTGCCTGCTGCTGCTGCTGCTGCTGCTGCTGCTGCTGCTGCTGCTGCTGCGGCTGCTGCGGCTGCTGATAGCACCGTCGCTGTTTGTGTTTCTATAATCTATAATGACCTTTCAACGATCATGTACCTGATAATGAAACTTTCAGAAGCAAGAAGAGAAGGCTCGAACTGGAGATGACATGAAGTCGGGTCCTGATCAGGAGAACTCCCAAAAAGACATCCTACATGTACACTCATCAATGTCCCTAACAAGCCCTGTAAACCCTCGCCAACACCCAAACCGTGTCCTACCTCTGCTTACCGCGGGCCACAATCCAATTTGAGCAGGTGCTACCCCTCTGGGATGAGGCAAACCTGGCAGAGGAGGCACGGAAAGTGCCGCGGCTTTAGGAAGGGAGGCCGTCGGCAAGCAGAAATTATGGGTACCTTGTTGGGGTCCTTATAATAAGGATCCTACTAGTTAGGGTACTATATTGGGGTCAGTACCAAAGCCGATGTCGCAGAAGCTCCAAGCCAGGGGCTTTAGTGTTCGAGAGCTGCTTGGAGTTTGGTTTCGGGGTTTAGGGTTCAGGGTTTTAGGGTCTACAGGGTTTAATTTGGGGTTTTGGGTTTAGGGCTTTATCTGGGGTTTAGGATTTTCTGCAGACTTTGGTATGAAGCCAGGGACTCTGGATTCCAGGAACTGGAGCAGCTCTTCTTGAGGCCTCTGCCTGATTCGAATCCCTTGTAAACGGAGCCATTTCACAAAGCCTTGTACTCCTTTTTACTACTATCACTACTACTACTACTACTACTACTACTACTCATATTTCTGCGACTACCACAGACCCCGGACCCAGTCAGACGTTTATCAATGCCACCCCCAAAACAAATAATCACCACAAGAGACCAAAACAACCTCAGGCGGGGAGGGGGGGGTATTAATTACAACCCCAACATTGCTCTCATCAAAGTCCCCACAGAAACCCTACTCCAGATGAACAAGCTTGAATCCTAAGCATTAGATTGAACCCTAAACCCCTAAACCCTAACTCCTAAACCCTAAACCCTAACCCTAAAACCCTAACCCCTAAACCCCCAGCCCAAAGCCCGAAGGACCCAAAGCCACACCCCTGAAACAACGGGCCGGACATGCCGCTCGCCAGACATCCTCCGGTTTCAGAGTCGGCTTTGCACCTGCATGTTCAAGGATTTCGGGCTTCGGGTTTATAGGGTTTAGGAGTTTAGGGTTTAGGGTTTAGGAGTTTAGGAGTTTGGTTGAAGGCTTTCTGGTTTAGGGCTTTTTGGCTCAAGGCTTTCGGGCGCAGGGTCTAGGATTTAGGGCTTAGGCTTGAGGGTTTAG